ATTTGTTTAAAATATTTTGTTACAATTGTTATATATGTTATTTTAATTTATCAATATTATATTATATAAATATAATGGATTATAACCTAGTTTTAAAAAATATACCATTTGTCTCTTGCAATTTTGGTGGGAAATCTGATTTTGTCGGCATATATGATTTGTCTAACAATTGGCCTTGTAAAATGTTTTAATATGAATAGACAGGATGTAAAAAAGTATTGCAGTTTTTTCCTAATTAAAAGGTACGTGTTTTGATAAGATCTTCTGATTTTGTTAAATATGAATCGAATATGAGGGATAAGAAGGTGGAACGATATGTGATTGTAAAATATAGTATTAAAAAAAGAATGAAATAAATTGTAAAAATCACAAAAATACATGATGGAAAAATAAAATAAAAAAATACAATGCTTGATACGGGTCCAACTACCCTACGGACACTAGAAGATCGACTCCAGTGAGCCATCTAACTTTTTATATTATTACTTCCTCTCTATCCAACAAATCTTTTAAACAAATTAACACCTCCATCAATTGTAAGTCGGTTTTGCAATGTAATTTAATCCATTTGTATTGACGTGAAACAAGTTTAACATTTGTTTTTTTTCTTTTTTTCTCTAGAAAATCGAAATATTCGAACTCAATTACGAGCTTCGAACGTAATTTTATGAAAACTAGTTCAAAATTTAGAATATTCCCTCACCAAATGGAAGATAGTTCCTCACACAAGGAAAACACCCGTATCTTCTAAATCGTTATTTCGGATTAAACGAAATCCTAATGGAAGTGTGAACCGATTTAAAGCTCATTTAGTGTCTCGTGGATTTCAACTAGGGAGGGATTATTTTGAAACCTACGGTTCAGTTTCAAAACTCGCCACCATATGTATTACTCTCTTTCTTTCACGGCCAATCTTGAGGAATTAAATATCCTCAAAGGCTCAGGACGAAATAAAAAAAAAAGAATCCTTATCGTTATTATAACTTCTATTTTTAAAAAAAAATATATAATAAAAAAATTAGATCTTGTGCAACTGCCTACTTTGCTCCCTTTCAACAACCTCTCTCTCTCTCTCAACTAGGATCTTCATCAATTGGATGTAAATAATGCGTTTATGCATGGTTCTCTTACCGAAGAAGTTTATACGACTCAACCCCCTGGGTTTGTGGATTCTCATCACCCCGCACATGTATGTTGACTACGCAAGGCATTGTATGGACTCAAACAGACACCTTGTGCGTGGTATTTGGAACTCTCACAATTTCTAGTATCGGTTGGTATATAAACAGGTTTACAAGATGTTATATTTATAAGATTAAAAGGCCTAACATTTTATGGCAATGTGTTCTTACGAAGTACAGACTCTTTAAAAAAAATATAATAGTATATATTCATATATCAAATATGTAATATAACTTCAAAACATCACATTCGATCTAAAATAGTAAGATGTGTTGGGAACCAAAGTATTGATTCTTTAATTATACCACAAGAAACACACAGGATCCAAATCTAATCCACAATTACAAGTTAAATTTGCTTCCTTTCTTTTAATCCAAGTAAGCTATTGTCTATCGATCAAAAGTTCAATACCGATCTTAATTTCTTATATACATACATACATGCACATATCAAACATTACCAAGAACCGCAAGTTCGTTTTCCCCTCTAAATGGCTACCTGCAGAATGCCAATATCAGCTCAGAGTCTTTTCCTTCTAATGTACAGGCAACAAATTGATAAACACACAATGCAGGTGTGCATGAAGAAGAAGAAGAAGGATGAAAACGTACGCTACAGAACCCACAATCACAAGAAAATCATGTCATCGATTATCACTAATTCAATTATTGAACAAGATCCTACACCATCAGATACAATAACACAGTTCTACAAATGCATAAATGAAAAGAATATAAAGCAACTAGAAAACTACATTTCAAACGATTGCTTCTTCGAAGACTATTCGTTTTCCAATCCATTCAAAGGCAAACAGGTCATATATTTAATTTCTTCATATTCTAATTACCGATTAAAGCAAACCGGATACAATAAGGCAATATATCAAAACTATTCGCAGGAGGTTCTACGTTTTCTTGATCAGCTAATCACGGGAATGGGCCGAAACGTAGAGTTTCATGTTGCTCATATTTATGAAGATGACGATGATCTAACAGCTGGTGTCAATTGGCATCTGGGTACGTTCAATATATATATATATATAATATATATATATATATATATATATAAAATCTTTTCATCTTTATTAGACGAGTTAACGTTTTAATTAATGGTGTCCCACAGTGTGGAAGAACAGGCAGGTGCCCTTTACGAGAGGCTGTAGTCTCTACAGATTAACAAGAGAAGGAAAAGGATTAATGATCAGGTATTCTAATCATGCTCATAAACCAGAATTATGGCCAACTTGATGATATTAATTAAAAACTAAAAACTACATGCAGGAAAGCACAAGTTTTTGTTGAGTCCCCAATTAAACCAGGAGATTTGTTCCTGGTAAGCGCCTACGACTGATCTTAAACACACTCATGCAATAATATATTTCTATTCTTATCCCTTAGGTTTTGTTTTTAATTATTGCGATTTGTGAATGCAGATTCTGTTGAAGATTGTGACTTCGTTATTTGATGCTTTTCCAGAGGCTACCGAATGTAAGTTAACCTCATGCGTGAATGACTACACACTGTCGAGTTTTTCATGATTATGTAGTTGTGTTAACATCGAATGCTAAATCTGTTCTCATTGTAGGGTTCTTTCGGAGTCAACATTTCATAGTGCAAATATTGTTGAAGGCTTACTGTATATTTATAGTTCCGTTCATAAGCCCGATACTTTCTTTCTATGTGAATCTTGGGAAACTGATTGTGAGGTTCGTGAGCATAGCGTTAAAGATATTCGAATACTGCTCGAGATTATTTACAACAGGCGAAAGGTAGAATATCTTTTTGATTAAGGTGTGATTGTCATTATGTCATCTATCTGCCAACGAATCCAATTTGAACATGGTTAATTTGCATGAAATGAGGGGGTTAGTGCACGAGCGGTGGTGGATTCCCGAAAGAAATAATGTGAGCGGGCTGCTGTTATTTTCCGGTTTATGTTACCGTAAATTAATAAAGGGTTTACAATTTGAAATAGTATAAAAACATCTCTTTTAAAGATAAAACAATCTTTAAATTAAAATATACGTCTTAATCCATCAAAACTTTGAAAAACACAAGTAGTTGTTTAAACGTATAGGAGATATAATCACAGTTCATATAGAGACAAATATTCATCAAACAATGTATAAGCTATTTCAAGTTATTTCATAGTGTTCTAGATATAGCATGTAATTCTCATATTCTCACATCAAACGTTAATAAAAAACACCTTTGAGTATTTTGGAAAATCCTTATTTGAACTCGGTTGATTGCACGTATCACACTCCCATTTATTTTAAAAACCTTTTTAGAAAATCATTTTCTTTTAGAAAATTTTTCTAATTTCTTAGTTTGAGTTCAGACACATCCAAGAGTATATCCGGATCCTTCAAACCAAGATTCTGATACCAACTTAACGACCTAAATTTCAATCCAAAATTTTCAATTAAAATTTAAGTGTTTATTCAAATCACAACCACAAAATCTTAAATAGGACCATTTAATCTTAAAACATTTATCAGAGTATCGACAAAAGTTATTATGTGCACAAGTCTCCCATTGACGCGATGCAATCGAATCGTGCCCATCCTTTAATATAAGAAAACCTAAAAACATTTAAACCACAAATTGTAAGCATAAAACATAGTGAGTTCCCCAAAATATCACACACAACACATCACAAATAAACAACTATGAGTTATCAGCAACTCCGGAGACTACGCGAAGTCTCAGTTGGCAAACAGCACGCCTTATGGGTTATCAACAACCCTGGAGACTACTTGAAGTCTCAACACACTCACTATCAAACATCACAATAACAACAATAAGACCCAGCAGGTCATCACGTATATACTACCACACAAACAAGCATACAAGTGTCACAAGGACATTAAGCATCCTACATACACAATTTAGTGGGCCGACATTGGTGCCTTCGACCCACGAGCACAGTGAGAAGACTCGCCTAAATCGAAGAACTCTGAAACACTAGGACACGATCCCTTTTATGCACTGCTTGCACCCGCAAATCCATTAACACCAAAACCAGATAAAATCTTAATTAATAGCAAAAATCCTCAAGTTTGAACCAAGGTTAAACTTGGTAAAAAAGTCAACGGTCAACAGAAGTCAAACTTCAAGCTGAGTACGCCCAGTGTACTAAACTCATATGCATGGTGTACTCACCCATCCAGAAACGACACTCCACACGAGTATGCGTGGCATACTCAAAGGTACGCCCAACGTACTCGGTTAGATGACATGTTTCTATTAATTGCTTATTCTCTTAAGTCCTTTCATCCAACGCTCATATCTAGACCCATAACATCATTCTAAGTCATAAAGTTCCCACCTTTATGACTTTCCATGTTTAGAGAAGGTCCAAAAGCCAAAACCCTAACTTATCAATCCATTAAGACATCATAACTCTTGCATGAAGGGTGTAACGTGCGTGTTTCTAGGGCTAGGCATTAATGATGATGTAATAGTCTAGGTTAACCTTTGTAAACCGCTGTGAAATAATAAAAATGTATTATTCGAGTGTTATGTGTTTTATGCTTAATTGTGTAACTTAAATGAATTAAGAACAAGAATAAGCGTAATAATAATATATTAGATAAACCCGATATCTATGAAGGAAGTTGTAGTGATCGTAACGAGGATTCTGAAATTATACAAAATACCGAAGTCCAAGTTATATCGAAGGAGTTATGATTTGTCAAAGTTTCACGACAGAACTGACATGATGTTGTATGATGTAAAATATGAATTTAAGATAGAGCAATATGTAGCCTTAGTGATCTAAACAAAAGTCGTAGAATACGTTAAACCAAGTGCGTGCATAAGAAGAACGTCTAAATATTACTTCGTATGAGGAAGTTATGATTTTTGAAGTTTCGACTTAGCACTATGCAGTCCAAAGTTCAAAATATGAGATCGAGTGGTTTCTAACCGAAACAATCTAAACGAGAATCGAAGATCTCGGTGATAGTAGTCCAATGGTGAAAAGACAGACGAAAACGGACGTCAGATGAAGAAGATATGATTTTCTAACGAAGTTTTCCTGTCCCGGCCTACCAAGATAATATAATTAAAGTTAAAGTCAAAAATTAGTCGACATAGTCTAAATGCAAGTTGTAGAGCATAATCTCACCTACGCGTGGATATAAAGAACGTCGAAAACGAAGCTCGTATGCGAAAGATATGAATTTTTGAAGTTTGAGGCACAAACTTCCACTTGTGTCAGAGCTCATGACGTGAGCATAGTGTTCACGACGTGCGCAGGTGATGGACGTCTTCCAGGGCAAGTGGCCATGACGAACGCAATGACAACTTCGAGCTCACGACGTGAGCATAAGTGGCTCACGACATGAGTATGGATTTTCAACTTCCTATAAATAGCAAGCAAGACCAGCCGTTTAGGGTTGTTAATCTCTTCTCTATCACTCCATATTACCTCGATTTACGTGCAAGTTATACCCCCGAAGCGAGTCCCGAAGCACCGAAGATCCCGAGAAGAAAATAGTTTTCGAGCTGAAGCTCTGCCCACGAGAAGCCCGGTATGTGAAAAGATCACAGTTTCACCAAAGAATACTACATTTAGAGTTGTAGTGTTGTCCGATAATCATCTTATCAATTGAGTGCATAGTCCCTTTCATATACATGATTTAATACAAGTATCGATTGAATGTATTATGTATATGTTTTATGTGAGTGTATTATTTTTATCTTCTAAACGCATAGATGTGATTTATTCTCTATGAAATACATGTTATGTGTATATGTATCATGTGTTATCTGGATTGAGTATGAATGAACATGCAATACAGTTTTTAAACTATTTATAAATAAGTATATTTTATCTACAAATATGTTGGGTAGAACATGGGTAGATAGTGATGTGTGATGAAATAAAAATGATGAGAGGCCTCGATGTGATTGTGCTCTAGTCGTCCAACAGAATATGGATGACGACCATAGACTTTTCTAGACTGTTCAGTGGAACGCTGACAGGCTCATAACCTGTAGGTGTAGTGAACTTGGGTGTTCATTTGTTGTATTCTATCCCCCTCATGGTTGCCTTAGGACATTCATTGTTGAGGAAACCCCTTTGCAGTAGTGTGCGTCCCGATGAAAATCCTAGATTAGGTCCCTTGTAATAGTTGTTTTCATAGGGACGTAAAGTGAGGATAACGGGAATGGGCAATCGGGTTATTGTTGGTTGGTGAAATTAAATATAACTATTTATTGTGGGTTGAAAACCCTATATGCTCACCAGGCTTCCAAGTCCGACCTACTCAGTTTCTTTATATTACAGGTAGTGGCGCGAGAGAAAAAGTTGGAGAACTTGTGAAGATGTTTTTGTTTATAGAGCAGTAGTTGTATATAACTGTGTAAGGTCTATGTTTTATTGTTTATGCTTTTGTAACTGTATCTGAACATGACATCCCAAGTTTTGATATATAATGAAAATACATTTCTTTAAGAAATGATTTGATAAACTTTATTTTATCATGTATTGTTTTGGGGACAAATTCCGCAACTCTTTTAAATCAAAGGATTTACTCTGAAATTATTTTAAAAGCATAAATGAAACCGTCTTTTCTAGCCATGATTTTAGGGATGTCACAAAGAGATAGAATGACCAAGATCACATTTTTATGGTTACTTATAGCTCCATAATGGATAAAGTTTCCAAATTTATCCTTTAGAATGGTCCAAACCAGCAAGATCTAGTTTTAAGTCTCAAAAGGACCAAAAGTGTATCTTTTTCAACTTAATCCATTAAGTCCAAGACTCCAACCTCTAGATCTGAACTAATATGATGTTTAGATGGATAAAGTTTCCAACTTTATCCATTACAAGGTCACAAACTTTCAAGATTTTGACTTTATACACTAAAGGGCCAAAAGTTCATAACACCCAAAACTAGCTAAATCTAACAAATGCATCATCAAGATTCAACATTTATAGCTCCAGAAGAAATATCAAGGTGAACAAGGTCTAGATCTACAAGCTCTGATGCAAACAATACTTCTCTAATGAGTTCCTTCTTCTCAAAGATGCACCAAGCACACTCCAAAGCACTCAAAAACTCCTTCTTTAGCTCACAAGGCTAAAACTAGGGTTATGGTTTCATTGGAGGAAGTTGGACAGGTGGAGCTGTTAATGGAAAGGGTTTGGGGAAGTTAAGGAGTTTAAATAGAGCTCAAAACCCTCAAATTATGGTTTGGGTTCTGATTGTATACGCGCAACGTACTCCTCGTATTCCCAACATACCAGGTTGATCCCCCATGATCCTTCTTGTTTAGTACGCCCAACGTACGTGGCTTAACCAAAAACCGTCCAAACTTCAAACAGTCATAACTTCTTCGTTATAACTCCAATTTCAATTATCTTTATATCCACATAAATATATTGAAAAGACCCATAATATTGTCTAGATATCTTGGACTAAAAACTTCTCGAACAAAAATCCATTTTTCATGCAAGACCCAAGCCCCTGGTTTTCCCTTTTTTTCCCTTCGGCCCAAAACACAATTCAAAGGTTAAGATCTCACAACCATCATTAACTCTTTCTACAAGCACTAAACTTTTCCTCCTTAAGGTCTAAATCCTTTACACAATCGACTTCCGGCTCACGACCCTGAATCATAGATTGATCCCAAACAGGGTGTTACAGCTCTCCCCGCTTAAATTAGATTTCATACTCAAAATCTTTCCTTACTATCTCCTTTGCCAAATCAAATGATCTTGTCGAAAATCCTTGAAATCCAACTAAGTACGGATAAGTCATCTCACTCTGACGACCGCCCACCCTTATTGTTGTCGAACCCAAATTAATAGAAATCACAAGCCCAAACAAAGCATGAGCCTCAACTTTTCCTTAAGCTAACGAGTGTCCAACCGCTATGCCTAAAACTAA